ATCTGGAGAACGCAGAAAGGTGATTGAGTTAGGGTAGTGTATGCTTTTTTGGGAGACGCAACATCCTTTTTAGCTCGCGGGGTCGTGGAGGTACGCAATCCATCATAACACATCAACATGTAGTCTCATTGTGATGGATGTTTCACTGGATTCAAAATTCCATTAGAATCATGAACACAATATCGGTGTAAGCGTTCATCCGTAAACAAAAGAAAACTGTACTTACCCTCTTTTTCAGTGGTCACTGTTGCTTTTCTCAATATTTGTACAGTTCACTATTTCGGTATTGGATACCACTCCCTCGATTATATTTCACTTTGTGGAAACATAAACCTAACCAGTATGTGATGGAATTGTGAAATCGCCCTTAGTAAATACTAAACTGCTGTTTCTTTCTTGTTGGGACGTATCAACAGTGTCTGCTATTGTATGCCTTTGTTTGTGCTCGAACTGCGAACCATCTGGTTTGGAGTTGAAGATCTTACTTGGATTTATACGGAGCCCACAGACGAACAAGCGTACAAATACCCTAGTGTTAGTGAATTCCCATGGACAGTATGCAGAAATGTTCCTAATATTCTCCTCGTTTATTAGTTAGCAAAAACCCGAAAATCAATAATCACCAATTTTTTGAATATACCATGTGAACCCAAATTAATTGGCTGTTTAAAATCTATCAAAATATACACTAACGACATCAGTTGGCCCGATAACAGAAACAACCGCACTAAAACATCAGTAATCCAATGACGTTCAACTGCGATGGGAAATACTTGAGTCATATCTCATCGCTGTTTGTCTAAAGCGTTTACGCCTAACTCATTGAACAGCTAATCACTAAATATCTGCAAGCCCCCCTCCCCGACTTTTGGGTCTTACAACTTAATTCCTGTGTGTCTCTTGGGTCACATTTAGTCCTGTGGTGTAAGCCTACCTGAAGATTATGGAAGAATTTTGAAGCCTGGTGATCGGACTGCGCGGTTGAGATTGGGTAGGAATGCTGTAAAACCCGGAGTAAGGTAGACGAAATAGATACAGTAATTGCATCCTCTGAATATTTTAGGTATCGATTTGATTAACCGCCCGCATTAGTCACCACACCAGGTGACCAATGCAGTAGCCAATGGTCCTTGTTCCTTGAACCTATCAAACATGCACCTTTGTTTGTTGAATGCATTATGATTGTCACTCACTCAGTCAGTCAGTTTTACAACCATTAACCATGCACTTTCGTGCGCCGGTTTTGGTTGCTGTCTTTTGGTTGTCCATTTGGATAAAATAGCGAAATGAAGATTGAAATGTCGAAGCAAATTCAAACGGAAGATGGGGAATACATATAGAGTGTGTTAGGAAAATAACGAGTGGATGTATGAGCACCACTGTTTGCGACACCCAACCATATCACTTAGCGTCTCTAACCATCGGTTACGATCATCCCGAGGTCCCCAGCCAGGGAGCCTAACGGGGTCTATGTGACCTAGTCTTCTGGTTAGGGTTTTCATACCCTCATGCCAGGTCTTAGCTTGACCGCCCTTTGTTTTTTTCCAATCGCTACCAGCCTTGGCAAACATCGTTCGCCGCGGCAACCTATCTGGCGACATACGTAACACATGTCCCAACCAGCGTAATCTATGGAGGTCGATTACCTGTTCCAGTGGGCGACCGCAACTGCCTAAAACTCTACGCCTAACCTCAGCATTGCTAGTCCGGTTACCCCACCAGACACGTGCAATGCTACGTAGACAGCGGTGTTCGAACACCGACAATCTATTTTTATCCTGTTCCCTTAGTGGCCAAGTCTCTGTCACTAGATATCCTTTAGTGATGAACAGCGGAAGGAGTAAACCCCATAATCACAAGGGTCTACTGTTCACTCATGATAACGAGTAATCTAAGCCCCGGAACTTAGAGTAACGAACCACATAAAGCTCATCCATGTTAGGAGTGATATTGAGCCGGAAGACAATGGAGCTGTCTAACACCAACTCCTTTATTCATGCTCAAGTCAAATTCCTCCTCATCGAGCTAGCCGTAATAGGCATTTTGTCATATAATGATTAGCTTGAACGGTTCTGATTATTTGGTTGCAACCAATAAGAATAAGCTAATTGACCCTAATATCTTAGCTTGCTGAGATGTCGACAGAGCAGCAACTGAAAGTAAACCGTTTACGTTAACATGAGTTTACGTAGCATGAGTTGTCAGTTGGATAAATGTATCTGTTCGTTAACGGTTTTCCGATAGTCCATTCACTGCTATTAGCGCACCAAGTTCCCCTGAAGAAAGTTAGGTAGATTCAGGATAAATAGACATATAGAAATGAGAAGGGCTGAATAACGGGTGCAATGTACGGATAATGGTCTGAGGGCGTCATAAAATATTTAAATTTCTGCGATACATATAGGATACGCAGGAAGGCAGATTTAAATTCCGTTATAAATAAACAGTTTATAATCATAGCTATAGAGAACAACTAACGGGATTAACCTACTTTTCATCGATCCGGTTTATTTTGTCACAAAACTGTCAACCGATGTTTAAGTTTATACTACTTATTAGCACCTACTACTGTTTACCCTGCTATGTCGCATTTCCTGAAATTTACCCACATTTTCGAATTCCCGAGGGGTGCGACATAGCAGGAGATTGACTGTATGTATTATTTGTTGATTTCAGGTTGATTGTCATTGTTGTACCAATTCGAGTAAACTTTTTGATGGCGTTTTAGACAGATTCCAACTGAGTTTAAAAATATACCAGCAAAGGATGAACTTCACGAGTATTAGCTCAGATATTATGACACTTTGTGGCGTCTGAAAGTTACTTGAACTTTGAAATATCTGACATTATTTTCGATGTTGGACGCCATAATACCTAGATCTGCTCAGCATGTGAATGACATTTTCATTTATTCTGCAAGTGAAAGCTTATCATGTTCATTTAGCAAGTGCTCTTGTAATTGAATTAGCATTGTAATAGTAGCATAGTAATTGAATTAGCATGAGCGAAGTATGCAGATAATATGCACATTCAAGTAAATCACTTGCATATAAGTCTTTTTCTCAGAGTTACGTAGTTACTGAACCACACATTATCTTGTGTAGTCCATACAAATTCAGGGACATCACAAACAGTGTTACTTTTTGAATAGATAAGTCAACTAGTGTGGCCGATCTGGTAGATGAAATCTTGACGCTAATTAACATAGATCGACTGGCCTAAGCTAAAGCGAGTCACTTGCGGCGACGTCGGAGGAGGACCGAGTTTATAGTGTTACTGTTTCGTGTGTCAGTGAAAATCAATTTATTCGTGCGGAGGAAATTCCCTGACTGGTTATTTTTGACGATCGTTGTTGGTACACGGTGGCAACATCGCGCAAGGGTGATGCTGTCCGCTAAGGAATACTTTATTCCTATGTTCAGCACCAGACCTTGAGTGTCACTATCCGTCACTTTACTCTCCGATTG